TGAGTTCCAGGACAGCTACACAGAGAAACCCTGTCTTGAAAAAAAAAAATCCTTTTCTCTAAGTCCGTATCCTGATTTCAGTTTCCTCTCTCTCTATTCTTCCTAGTTTCGCCCTACCCCTCTCCCATCAGAATCTACTCCCTTCTTCTTTCTGTCTCTCATTAGAAAAATGAGCAGAAGGAAAAGATCCCAAGAGAAGAAGGTACAAGGAATCAGAGACTCACTTGTTCACACACTCTACTGAGTGTGTAATCCCATAAAAACACTAACCTGGAAGCCATAACACACACACACACACACGTATACGTATACATACATACATACATATACATATACATATACATATACATATACATATACATATACATATATATATATATGCGCAGAGGACCTGGTGCAGAGCAGACCCATGCAGGCCCTCTGCATGCTGCCTCAGTCTCTGTGAATTTATATGAGCTTTGCTCATGTTGATTTAGAGAACCTTGTTTTCTTGATATCCTCTCCTCTCTGTATATTGTCATGGTTAGCTGCTTTCTCAAGTCTGTCTAGCTTTCTTGGAGGCTCAGCACCTCTGTGGAAGGATGCCCAAGTTTAATCCCTGGCCCGGCATTGTTAGCAAGTGCTTCAAACACAGCCAAGACCCAAATGTCCTCAACTTGTTAGGCTCCTCGTACTGTGTGGGGTAGTGGTTTCATCTAAACTACTCCATCTTGTGTAATTAACAGTGATTAAGGCCATGGTTTGCCCCAGATGATGCCATTTGAGTGCAAATAAAGAAAGGCAGGATAGACTTTGAATCTTATTTGTGCACAAAGACACCAAAAACTATCTGGCACCAACTATAAAGCAAAGACTAATAACATTTCTATAACTAAAAAAGAGATCAGATGCAAAGTTATCAAAGTAAATGGGTAACATATAGGCACAGAGGCATATTAAAACAGTCTTGGAAAAACCAGGCCCAAGAACTCGTGTGCAACACACCTGAATTGAACCCCATAACAAAAAGGACATCTGTAGCCATGATAACAATGGCTACAGTTCCTACCCAGCATGTCACTGGAAGACCCATTCATCAAGGTGTCAAAAGGCAAAAAACTTTGAATGCCTGTGTCATATGCTATCAGAGCAGCTTGAATGTCTTTGCTTGATGGGACCCACTCCAACTGTGATCCTCCATCCTCCTGCGCGACTGTCTGGACACCAGCCTTGTACTTTGCCTCTATTATTCTGTGACTTCTACAGTCCAATGTCTCTGTGGCTCAGCTCTAACCTTCAGATCAGCTCTAATGGTCATATCTGAGACCCTGCAGCTCAGCTCTGAAATTCCAGCAGATCTATAACTGGGTTTCTTATATTTTATAAACACTTTCAGTGACTCTCCCTATGTGCACTAGCTATCCACTTCTGTCTGCAGTAGGCCTGGTTGAACTTTGGAACTTCTTCAAAACTTTTGTAGCCTTCGTTAACCTACACACACACACACGCATACATGTGTGTGATATAATGTGCGATTGAAGAGTTAATATTAAGTAAATTATTGGAGTGAAGAAACCTGTGTTTGCCAATAAGCAGTAGGAAATGACGAGTGATTGGTGAAGACTGAACAACACCAACATGGCTGTGGATCTGTTGTAAGTCAGTACATTCCAGCATTGTGGGAAGACACAGCCTTTCCTTCTGTACATT